GTGATTTAACAACCAAGAATGGTTGAGGGGATACAATGTACAAGTTACAAGTGCTGAATATGAAGGCCCTAAACAAACCAGCGTAAACAGAGACAGCAACAGAAGCCGTACAGAACAATATAATGGCTGATTCAGAATCAAATGACTATTCCAAGTATGGGATAACGGATGTCCCCAAATTCACAACTACTACAGCATTGGGGAAAGGTAAATACCCATATTCTTTAGCCAATTTTTTAATTATATCTATCTGATATCATAGACGATCGGGCTATCCTCCGAATAACGGCCCTATATTATAGGCGGCCAAGAAAAGACCCTAACAAGGCCTCAGTCAAATGAAAATTGCAGACCTTTTTTTTCGGCGACTATACCGCATAACGCGGGAGAAGCACCGCCGAGAGTGTCCCCGCGCTAGCGGCGCGAAGGGGAGTTAAACTAGATGGCTGGGACCCACAAGCAGCAGCTACCACCCATCTCCTGCAGCTTCCTCTTTTTATTTGCTCATAAGTCCCAGCCATCTCGCAGCGCGGGGGATACTCTCTCGGCGGTGAGTCCGCATTTGACATGTGGATTGAGGCCCTGTCAGGGTTTTTTTTTGTTTCGCCATAATATGTGGCTGTTGTTCAGAGAATAGCCGACAATCATAGTACTTCATCTTCTTTACATTTACCGGCTGTAAACTCCCGCAGAAAGTTCTGGTTGTTCGTCCACTTCTGGATTTTAGCCCTGTTCCAGAACCTGACTTTTACGTGTACATCCGTTGTACAGGTCTGACTCATTACAAGGAAGCTTCCAATTATTCAACCCTTACAACATGCTTTTGGGAAGCAGTGGGCTTACTCTTGTTTTCCCCCACAGTTGGGCGCCGGAACCCATATGGGGAGTTTAGTAGTACCAAGCAGATTATTTCATACTGATAATTTCATCATCATGTATCCAGTCCTTTTGCAGAACGTTGCTGTCATCACAGCCTGTCTGAAAGAAACTTAGTCTCTCGCCAGCTCTCCTGCTTCGTCCACTTTCTTACCAAAGGTTCCACTTATAAACCTGTGCCCATCTTCTTGCTATATATTTTGTTACATTTTTATATACTAAATTATCGCCAGTAGGTTTTGTCACTTAGATATCAATCATAATATCGAGACTATTGTCACCATCTGGCAGAGATTCATCAACGACAGAGCAGTATGAACAGTTCTAGACCTTTTCCCTTATCATTTAGTATAGAAAAAACACTTAAAATTGTATCACATCTAAATAATTTATTTTTAAATCATAAAATAATTCGCCGACCACGATGAACTTCGCAAACAAAAGGACTTCCTGTTGTTAATCCTAATTTTTGAAAAACTTATTCATAAAAGTTTCATTTTCCCCACTAACGGAACCAAATTAGAGTGTCTATATGATACGCCATTATACTGATGAGTAGTCCATTAGGGATAAATTCATTCACCAGTATACTGGCGAAGAGTCTTTAAAGAGTTTAAGGGAACAATAATAAAAATTTTTAAGTGCAAGTACTAAAATACAGTTGCATAACAATCAAGAAAAGGCTAAAGATTAAAGGAAACAGGTCAAATGTTAAAAGACATCTATAACTCAGAATGACTGAAAGGAATATCACTTCTGTTAACATTTTTGGCAATCCTTGTCATGGCGACCCCAGGGGATGCAGTCTATTGTAAGTTATTATTACTGTGGGTAGGTCGCTATTTGTTCCTCACCAGGACATCACACAAGTGATAAACACCCGGTGACACAAAGTGCCACCATGGGGATGAGGATCACCCGGGGAGAGGTCCCAGAAACCCCTTTCAGCTGTTGGGCCATATTTATGGCCCAGCTATATTCAGGGCCCCTATCAGAAGCCAAGGTGGGGCTTCAAATAAAAGATTGCCTCCCACGTGGGGACAACTGTCATAATAACAGTAGTAGTAGATTTTTACCCCACCAGGACGTCACACAAGCGATAAATACCCGATGACACAAAGTGAGATACCATCCAAAGAGGAAATTAGAAAAGCTATAAAGCTTCTTAAGGAAGGAAAGGCGTCAGGCCCAGATGGTATCCCAGCTGAAGCCATCAGGACCAACATAAACACATCAACAGAATTGCTACATAGATTATTCAGTAAAGTCTGGGGAGACCGAAGAAATACCAGCAGACTGGAGAGAATGGGATATCTTTGTGAAACTGCCCAAAAAAGGTGATCTACAGGAGTGTGAAACTATAGAGGAATTATGTTGCTGTCAGTTTTTCCTGGAAAAATATTAAGTAGAATTATTTTGGAAAGATAAAAAGATGCTATTGATAAAATGCTAAGAGATATGAGCAGGCAGGTTTTTCGGGTCCAACAGATCCTGTACTGATCAGATAGCCACATTACGTATTATAATAGAGCAAAGCATTGAACTGAACTCACCACTTTACATTGGATTTATAGGACTATGAAAAAGCATTTGAACAGCATTGATAGGGAATCTCTCTGGAAATTGATGGGGCACTATGGAATCCCACAGAAAATTATCAACTTAGTAAAGGCAACATATAAAGACATGAAATGTCGAGTTCTTCATGAGGGAAAGCTAACAGATGCATTTAAAATAAAAACAGGTGTGCGACAGGGATGTCTTTTGTCGCCTCTCCTATTTTTACTGGCTATAGACTGGACTATGAAAACAGTAACTGCTAACACCAAGAATGGAATTCAGTGGACCCCTACAAAACAGCTTGATGATCTGGACTTCGCTGATGATATTGCCCCTCTGTCCCATTCACGGAATCAGATACAAGATAAATTAAATATACTTATGCGAGATCACAGCAGCTTGGTCTGAAATCCATAAAGGAAAGACAAAAAGATAATGAGAATAATCAGGCAAATAGTAAAATGTGGTTTCTCTTAATGGCACCCCACTCCAAGACGTGGAGTCGTACACCTATTTGGGCAGTAATGTAGATAAAGATGGAGGAACTGATAGAGATATTAAAATAAGAATACAAAAGGCAAGAGGGGCTTTCATAGCACTAGGGAATTTGTGGAGGTCAAAAGAAATTAAAAGAATACTAAACTAAAAATGTTTAATTCTAATGTCAAATCAGTACTATTGTATGGGGCGGAAACATGGAGAACAACGAAGGCAATTACTAATAAATTACAGACATTCATTAACTGGTGCCTGCGCAGAATAGAGGGAATAAAATGGTACGATAGATATAACTAATGTAGAACTTTGGGAGAGAACTAAACAGGCTCCAGTGGATCAGGAGGTGAGGAAAAGACGCTGGCGTTGGATAGGCACACCTGAGAAAACAGGAGAACAGTATAACTAGAATGTCTTTTGCATTGGAACCCACAGGGGCATAGGAATAAAGGAAGGCCAAAAAACACATGGAGAAGAGAGCTGGAGAATGAGGTTAGAAAGATTGGGAGGACATGGGGAGAGCTCCATGTAATGGCGAAGGATAGAACGACTTGGCGTGAGTTGGTTGAGGGCCTATGCTCCATTGGGGGATAAAAAGGCAGAAGAAGACACAAAGTGCCACCATGTGGATAAGGATCACAATGGAGAGGTCCCAGAAACCGCGTACAACCATTTGACCATATTTATGGTCAGGCTATATTGCGACCGTGGCAAGAGCCAGAGTAGGGCTTCAAAATATGAAAAATTGCATCTCACAAGGAGATGGCTGGATAATAATAATTTTACTGAGATCCAACCCAAGGGGGCATAATCCATTGTTTGTGTAAGTTGACATAATACTAATATTCTTTTATATTCAAATTTGTTTTTGATTAGTGTTAGGGTTAGAGTTAGGGTTAACCCTAATCTTAACCCAAGCACTAACCCTTACCCTAAACCAGACTCTAACCCTAACCTTAATCTCAAACAGTATTAAATATGAAAGAATATTATTATTAAACATACACAAACAGTGGATTGTCTCCCTTACAGTCACCATTAAAGAAGAAACGTTATTTTTTCTCATCCTTTTTAGGATGAAATTTTTCGTTATTTGAAGCCCTACTCTGGCTTTTGCCAGGGGCCGCAATATAGCCTGGCCATAAATATGGCCTTAAGGCTGAATGCGGTTTCTGGGACCTCTCCACGGTGATCCTCACCCACATGGTGGCACATTGTGTCATCGGGTGTTTATCACTTGTGTGATGTCCTAGTGGGGTAGAAAGTCAGTCAGTCAGTCAAGAAACATTGATTGCATCCCCTAGAAGATTCGCCGTTGCAAGGATTACCATATGATGTGTGAGTGGCTTTTTGCTGTGAATTCCAAACACCGGTATAAAATCTTGTATAAAGTCTTCTGTAAGCTTTACATTTTGTCACAGACTAGTAATGAAAACTGCCTTACTCAGTGACCACTACTGCTGTGAAATTCAACTGTTTGAAATGAATAAAGTGTTGATTTTTATCATTGTGGCAGTTTTCCTCTTTGGACATCTCAGAAAACCTTTTGGGATTGAAAGAGTTAACCATATGAAAATACTGATAACTTTGTCGCAGTATTTCTTTATAAGTAGTTTGTTTTTATTTCTTTTATTGCTGTAAATATTTTTGTATATTTTTTCAGAGGAAAACTGTTGCTGGCCTGTTTCTCAAAGAATGGGTGTTTATCATAGTGTCACTGATAAACATCCTGACAGCCATTGCATTGACACTGTTTCGAATGGTGGATGTTCTTGAACACAGCCCAAACTCTCCAGATTTTGCCTTCACCCTGCTTTTATTGATTAATGCTGGTGAGTGCTGTCACTTTGTTTTTAACTCTTTCAGGCTCAAGAATTTGTCCAGACTTGGCTCACAATAATATCTCTTTACAAAAATGGCAGAGGGGTAGTGTAAAAAAAAAGGGGCATAGAAAATGTAATATGCTTCTAATCCCTACAAAAGTATATACTTAAAAAAAAAAAAGAAATGATTGTACATTGTGAATCTGATAATCAGTTAATGTTTAATCCTGTTACAGTTAGTAAGAAAGAAGAATTCAGTAGATGTTAATTTCATACAACAAAATGTTAACAAAAATTTCTCAACTTCCATGGTTTTGCAGCCACAAGAGCAGCAGATATCCAAATCTGAGACAAAGTTGGTTTAATTTCTTAACAAATTCCAAAGTTATGATAAGTTTCTAGGTTAGTTAGCACTCAGTGACTCTAAGTTCTTACAGAGTGCTGAACAAAAAAAAAAAAAAGCAATTGCAGAAAATAAACCATTACACACATTATGTTTACTTTGTACTGTTGCATACAGATTGGAGCTGCAAGGATTTCAGTGTTGCTTAGCCACAGTATGGTACTGTCTTTCTGTTTTTTTTGGAGCACTTTCTTTCTCTTACACCCTAAAGATAATAGTAGCAATGGAACATTCTCTGTTTCAGACTCATTAGAACTGCTAGAACTAGATTCGCTAACAGTTGACCGCTCAGCTGCTGCTGGTGTAAATTCACCGTCCGAATCACTTTCTGAAAAATCTCAATTTTCATTGTCATTATCAGGATAAAAAACATCAGATTGAAACAGTTTCAGAGCTTCGGCCGCAGAGAGACGTATTTTGCGGCCTGTGCATTGGAACATTGGTATCCATGGCGTCGAAAAGAAATTACAAAATTCATAAATAAAGACCCCAATACAAAGAAAAACGTTAGAGTAACCATCCCTAAATACTTTAATGGTTCCGAACATTAAAAACGAAAATGGAGCGTAAGCGAATCAATATGTATGGGACACACGATCGACGCAGACAGTGTTATTTGGGCAAATGGGAACTTCTCAGTCAATACTGACACTGTTGCTCGGGTGTCAGAGAGTTAATTTCCTGTTTGGATCGATAAACTCATTCGTCAAAAGACATACAAATCAGCCCCAGGGCAATGAAAACATTTTTTGAGAGCCAACTTTCTTTCCAAGAACCTGTCAAGAATGTTGTTTTTCTGAGTCAAAACCTTTTGGTGGCCGACTGGCCGAGCTGCACTGAGGTTGCTAAAGAGCCACCATTTGCCAACCACTGGAGTAGTGGATCAGGTGCTAAGTCTTCTGGAAGACGAAAATATGAAGAAAGAGGTAAAATCTTATTCTGCTTTTTTTGTGTGTTCACCATCTGTAAACTGGAGGAAAATCCTGGCTGTTCATTACAGATCTGGCTTATTTGTGTGCAGCCCATTAGTTGCTTACCTCTAAGGCAGATGTAGTCTGTCTTTGAAGGAAATGTTGATCTTATCTACATTTTCCAGGCCACTGGTTTGGAACCTGTTTCTGAGATGACCACAAGAGGTATAGTTAGGTTTTTACCAGTTTGCACCCTGTTCCTGGTGCAGCGCCGTGTGTTATTCAGCCCTCAGCATTCCTGAGGATACAGAGGTTCTAGAAAGATTTGAATGAAGAGATGTTTTTGGAAAGAAATGAGATAAGAGAAATGTGAAAATCAGTAAGTGAAACATTTTTCCGTGTAAAATATGGGAAACAAATATGTGAGCAGGCCCAATGAAATCAGCATTTCCTGCGCAATCCTTTTTTTTTCAGTTGAAGTAGGAAAAAAGTTATAACAAGCTTTATAGAGTCAGTCTTGATGTGTGGAAGGGAATCATTGACTGTCAGCAGATTAGTGGGATATTATATGGCAACTTCTGAGATAGTAGTTTAACTCTTTGAGTCCCAAGGAACGCATCATACGTTCAAAGGTTACTGCCTAGAAGCCCAATGAACGCATGATGCACCAATTTTACGTATCTCTTGACTACCCCTTGGGCCTGTGATGCTAAACCCTCTGGGACTCAAAGAGTTAACAGAAGAACATTGAAAACACCCTGGATACGTACAAAGTGTAATGAAGATATCTGGAAAGAAATGCTCTCTCACAAAGAGAACTGTTTACATGTTTCAGAAGAAGCCAGTCTAGATTCTTTGGGCACATCATGAGATAAGGAAACATGGAGTGTGTTGTAAAAATAAAATGAAAGTTAAATGGAAAAATTTGCAGGTGGAAACAAAAGAGAGAAAAAAGACTGGATAGTTTATTGTCATGGTATTGTAGGCAAGCATGAGTCCCTAGGGGCCACAGAGATATTTTGCTGGTTCTAAGAACAGCGTCTACTATGACTGCAAAATCCTGTGTCAGAGTGGCAGTCTCTACTACTTAGATACATAAAAATAATGACACTCTAATATACTGAGGCTGACTTTCTTTAGAAGTTTCCTCTATATAGGTTGCTCCGTTTGGCCTTTTGCAAAGTGCAACTGTCTGTCTTTCACTATCTGCCTCCATAGGAGTCGGTCTGAAGCTGATCTCTTGCAACTGACTATGTCAATGTTGGCACTGTACACTATGACGTTCCTTTGGCACTGTACACGCATGACGTTATTGTAACTAACTCACAGAGTATGTTCAGAAATGTGCAGACAGGCATGCTTAATGTGGAGCGGCAAGCATCACTTCAGAGGTCCTGGGTTGTGTTAGTGTCCTTTGGATATTTTCTTCAGGTCATGCTAGTGTGTTGAGAAACGAGCAAGCAAATAGACTGCCCGGTTCTGTGCCACTTGGTAGTGAATTGATACAGGACAAACTAGATGTTGTGAGGGCCCTTCGGGAGTGAGTGAACAGTGCGGAGACACAAATAGATCATTACAGTCTGAGAAGAATGGCGCTGCAGGAAGTTACCAGGGGATCTGGTCGATGCTCAACACTCAGGTGAAGGGCAAAACGGATGTACAATTTGACAGTTTTTGGTGTCATCAGAATTGAAGATGGGGACAAAGCGCTTATGGGTGTGTCCCAAGTGCTGTGATGTCTATTCCTAATTCAACAATCAACATTCACTAAGCATGTCATAGGAGTCAACTAACTGGGGGCATCCTGGTTTATGGTTTGGATTATACAACGGATCAACATCGTGGCAGAAGGGTAGTCACTCACAAGTGCTCCGTTTTACTTCTAACTCAAGCCTGAGTCCAAAGATCACAGTGCAGTGCACAAACTCAGTAGCACCGGTAGGGTTGCTGAAGTACTTAGGGTAGATTTTTAACTCCAAATTTCGGCTTCTCTTTTCAGTTTCAAACTGCCAATGGATTTTTTAATATGCGCAGCAATATACACAGGCGTCCAATCTTACTATCCAGAGACCAGGGAAATTACTAGAATTCCACTTGAAAAAAATCCCAGCCTTCACCGGGGCCTGAACCCGGGACTGCCAGCACCATACCTCGAGACCACTCAGCCCTTGGGGGCATCCTTTGAAGTTGGAGTGCACCAGCCTGAGAGGCAAGGTACCAATAGTCTGCATACAAATAAAATATATCTGTGAAACAATGTGCACACAGCACTCAGTTTCTGGAACAAGACTAAAGTCTGGAGGTGGATGGAAACCCAGAACTTTTCATCAGAGTTTACAACCGGTAAATCAAAGAAGAAAAAGAACTTTGAATACTTTAACAGACAAAGACAGAAAAAGGATAACTCTACCTACCAAAGCACTGAGTATTATACCTACTTTTAGACTCTTGGTATCATTTCTTTACACAGCTTATTTTATTAAAAAGGCACAAAGGTTTTTTTACCCTCTCCTTTTATTGATCAAACAATTTTACAGTTTTAGAAGATTGAAGAGCTCTACCTTTCTCTCCACAGGTTTCAGCCTGTTTTATGTTTTCCATGGAGTATTGAGGGAAAGGGTGTACGAGCTGTATGCACTGATGGCCGCCATCTTAGTCGTCATCATGTACTGCATTCTAGAATATTGGGTGTTTAACCCACAGGGTCAGACAACAGTAAAATTGGTGAGTTCTGTGTGGCGGTACCAATCTTGCCAGATAGAACAAATTTTACTTGCACCAGAAATGTTGTAGTTTTTAAAAATCTCATAAACAGAGTTCCTTTGTAGCTTTCATTTCCTGTGAAAGATTCGTGTATTTATGATTTAAAATGCATTAAATACCACAGTAAGTGAAAGTAAAAAACCTGTTTAATTATTCCTCGACATGTATTGATGTTAACAAGGAGAGGGAAACATTAGCATTCTTTGGTCATATCAGGAGAAGAGAAAAAACCTGGAACATACTGTTAGTTAAATAAATGTAAGAATAATTAACGAAGAAAGAAAATATGCTAAACTGCCTTGTCCTATAGCATCTACTGATATTAACAAAATGGTTTAAACAATAGATCTGAAGAATAGGAATATTGTATGGACATGCTCACCAGCTTCACTAGGCCAGGTACTTGATAGTGGGTATGAAAAATAAAAGGAAAGCTGTAGGTCAAATCATTAGCAGTAATTACATAGATATCAATTGATTTCCAACATCTGGATTTCTATTCTGGCAGCAGTTCATTACATTTTATTACTGACTGTAGGTGTTGAAGATGATAGCAGAAGAAGAAAACAAGAGATGATTCTTGACAGATTGTTTGTCATGGCATGAAAAGATTTCAGCACAATAAATCGATACTTGCTGGTGGAGTTTACGAGATATAGAGAAACATGATCACCCATGCTGGTCTGAAAGACACTTAATGAAGATCATAATGTTGCTGATGTCTTCATAATCCAGTTCTTGTGCCATGAGATATTTCTGGCATGCACGAGCTATACTTTAGTTTTTGCGTTCAAGAATATCAGATGTGCATTGCTTTTTGGCTGGATTTAAATGAATGTTCATATAGGTATAAAATATCACTTTGTGCATATTGGAATGATCATTGCTTGTTTACTGGTTTTAGAAATATATGAGGTATGTATAGATACAAGTGATCATTGTTTGTATACGAGATATAAGAATAGAAAATTTTTGTACAGAAACAAAACAAAATCTTTGTTTGTATCCTGGATTTAATCATTGTAAAATCTTTTCACAGATACGAGTGATAATTGCTTGTATACTGGCTCCACCAAATATCATCCTAGCCTATGTTGTGTCCAGAAACTTTGGCTACCTGGAGTTCAGAATTGTAGGAGCCTCCCAGTTTCTCCAGAGTAAGTACCCCCTGACAGTGCTGAAAAACATTCATCGCTGTTTTGTTTTCTAAGAGATAAGTGAGTTTTTTTTCCTTTTGATGTAAGAGTACAGTTCTTTAAATCTTTATGAATGTGAATACTTACCCGAGAATTTAAAAAAGCTGCTTGGAATACCACATTTGGAACATCCCTGTTTATTCTGTCATTTGCATAGAATACCATGAAATGTTTTTGTTTCTACTGCCCTTCATTTTCATAGAATAATATATTTAGTCTTCCTGCCTTCCTTTTGTTTCAAAATTTGATTAAACGTTTTTCTTTCTGCCTCACTCATTTTCGTAGAATATAACAATAAAAGAATAGACCTACTGCTCCCTAACAAGAATATCATAAAAGGCGACTAATTATGAGTTAGCTGAAATTGCCTGTGTTGAACCAGAGAGTGTAGTTATCACAGCCTAGTTGTAAACCACAACACACTGTGCCAACCACCCTTATAATGGTAAACAATGGAGAAGATCAAAAGAATTTGACGTCACATATTGTGTCAAGAAAGCATAATGGAGGTAAAAGAAATACAACTGAAAATTTTAACCAAAATCTTTATCAACAACAACAACAACAACAAAAAGGGCATTTTAAACTAAATAAATTAACAAGAAGGTATCAGAATGGAATTACGACAACTGTGGACAGGAAGAGCTACTGTGAAACAAAACATGAACATAGACAAGGCCAAATTTTGGCATTTCACCACTGACAACAGTTATTCTTGATATCTGCATATTTATTGCATTTACTTTCTCTCCAGTCTAGTACACATTTGTTTTTTGCCTTCCCTGTATCATGTGCACACAATTTTCGTTTTTTTTCTCTGCCTTCATTTACCATCTTGGGAGAAGATGTAAGGATCTTCTATGTGCATTGTAACCCTTTCACCCTGCTGACAGATAAAAACCATTAACCATATGTTCCTTATTTCAGGTTTTAAAAATAAAAGAGTTCCTTAAAAGAACATTAAATTTAAACACCACAGAAGAAAAATAGCAACAACAAAAAATGATATATTGAGGAAGCAAACCAACACAAACCATACAGTTGAAGGAGAGTAATCAGTAAAAAGTGAACTCAGCAGGGAATCAACTGGCTTACCTCTCTTTGAGCCTTGAAAATAAATTATCATATGACAATAACTTGACTCCATGCCCCTGTCGCTCGGTACACATATGTGAGTGAGGAAAATATGATGTCAGAATTTCTATTTTAAAAAGCCAGTTTTGACAGGCAAACCACACTAAATGCTTTTTTTTTTAGTAGATGTCATTTTCTTTCCTGTTAAACATTTATACAAATACAAAGAGAATCAAATCTGTTGGCTATGCTTCTCGTAGATGCAGCTCTTAATGAGTAAATTAGATTTGCCTTGCTTCTGTGTGTCAAAAGTTGTGTCACTTACTCATTTAAGATTCTATTTATGGTTAGTACAAGTATCAAAAGTTGTTTTTATTTTTTAAATGCATATTTTTAATAGTAACAGAAAACTTAATGCTAACAGTAAAATAATGCTAATGGTAAAATTGTTCACCATTGCAGGGCTCTACAGGCAGGCAGCCATTTTCTCTTGCCTGCTAAAATTTGACCTTCAGGCATCAGTAAGTGAAAGACATAGATAGTTTCATGTTTTTCCCGATTCACTATTGTATTTTCCAGTGCTGGAATATGTTTAGTTTTTTTTTTCTTCCTTTTCTCATTTAATTCATCATGACATTGTCATATTATGAAGAGTCCAGGTTGCAGTATAGATAGGGCACTTTCTTACCTGGACAAAGGTTCATTTTCGTTAATCCTGCATAAGACTTTATAGGATTAATTCAATCACATAAAATATATAAAGAGGCTCTCACTATTTGTTGTAAGGAGATCTGATGAAGCTGGGACTAACATTATATCTTAACCTTTTCAATCAATTATGATGTCATAATGACTAAAAAGAGCCCTCTTTCCTTCCCCCCCCCCCAATACCTAAATACCATTTCTAGTAAGTATAATCTTATCTGGCTCTTTAATCACTGGGCAGGTGCAAACAGTGCCAAGGACGATTAATACTTGTCAAGGACTGACCAGTGCAGCAAAGCCAGTTTAAAGGCTTCATGAAGATTTCACTGGATGGTAAAGCCAGATCATTGGTGTTGAGATGAAAAGGTTTAGTTGTAAGACTAATTTTCTCTCTCTCTGAACAAAGATATGTTGTATAAAATTAATTGCCTGTGTCTTTCTTTTCCTCATCTTTCATCTGTATGTATGAATGCCAATCAGGACATGTCAGTTATTCATGGTTGCATGTAATATATGACAAATTGTTAGTGTCTTAAAAAATGCAAACAGTGGAGAATGGAGAGTGAAAAGTATCTATGAATTTGATGATCTGTTTAAATCTATGCTAATTACTTCCGCCATGAGGGCTAATAGACTACGATCGATGAGACATATAGTGAGAATGGCAGATAACAAAGTGACAAAAACGGCATATGCAAAAGAGTTGAATGGGAGTAGACCATGAAGTAGACCAAGAAAATTATGGGAAGATAATGTCCAGACAGACCTACAAATACTTGGAGTCACCAACCGGAAAGAGAAGGCTAATTAGAGAGATGAGTAGAGGCAGGTAATGTCTGCAGCAGTGAACCTCAAGGGTTGGGAATGCTGAAGAAGTTTAGGTTTAAAAAGTTTAAGTTAAAATTTAAGAGGATCTATCTCATGGCTCGGTCTATCTCTGCAAAACGGCTAGCCGCACAGAGCACGAACTCTATAGCTCTGGCAGCAACTCCCAGGGATATCCATAAAATTTGCACTTGTGAACTGAAGGGTGCAGCCGTAAAACAAACACACGACCTTCAGAGCTCGAAGGCAAACGGCTAGACCGCTTCGCCACAGAGATTTCTTTGGTTTAAATAATGGATTAACATCATGGCACAAGGGTAGTAACTCTTAAGTGCTCCGTTCTACTTCGAACTCAGGCTTGAGTCCATAGAATCTGAGCACAGTGCATTAACTCTGTAGCACCGGCAAAAATCCTGAAATACTTTGGTTAGATTTTTAACTTACAATTTTGCCAGGGCAGCGCTGTTAGGCTACTCTTTTCGATTTCCAACTGCCAGGGGATTTTTTTTGTTACATGCACAATAAAACACACAGGCATCCGATCTTACCACCCAGAAACCAGGGGACATTACTAGAAGTCTACATTAAAAAATCCTAGTCTTTCACCTGAGCCAGAAGAATAACAGTAGTTTCTGTCCATTTCAATGTCGTCTTTGCTTGAGTCATTCTCTAAGACCTGTCTGTTGCTTTTTTTGGTTTTTGTTTTGTTTCGCCTGTTATCACTGGCTCCCCACAACTCAGTCATATAGTATCCCCCAGCAAAGGTGAATGGTCGATAATGTGGAATATCAGGTGTGTGGGGTAGCACCTGGCATATGGATGTCTTTAGATGCTTTAAGCTTTATCCATAGCATACAATCTGTATTAGGATGACTAGATACTTCCTGCACTGTTAAAACAGTCAGTTGACCCATATATTTCCTGCACATCTAAAACAGTCAGTGGACCCAGATACTTCCTGCACTTTTAAAACAATCAGAAGACAAGATACTTCCTGCACTTTTAAAACAATCAGTGGACAAGATACTTCCAGCACTTTTAAAACAATCAGTGTACCCAGATATTTCCAGCACTTTTAAAACAATCGGTGGACCCAGATACTTCCAGCACTTTTAAAACAATCAGTGGACCCAGATACTTCCAGCACTTTTAAAACAATCGGTACACCAAAAAGGCTATCCTAATCTATCCACTTTATTGCCTTTAAAAAAAAAAAAAGGCAGATGTGTTGGCCAAAAGGCATAAATATCACAGCTATGATGTAAACAAACACAGTAGAAAATATCCAAATCAAATTATTAAATGAACAAAACAGAAGAAGAATGCAACAGTGTTTGCTGTTTGAATCCTTTAATTTACCTCTACAGACACAGCAAGTGAATGATTGTTTTCTTGTTCTGTCACCAGTGTAGCATTGTGATTCTTGCCTTGAAAGATGGAACCACCATTTCACTAGTTGAGACAGTCTCGCTGGCTGTTGGCCTGCCATTTTCCTTATTTTGGTGCTTACTTGGCTGGATAGCGGTAAGTCTGCCCCTGTTCTTATTCTGTTTGCCTCTTGTATCATATTATAATGTATTGTCACTGATCATCTTTTTTTGAGCCTCCATAGTGTAGCGGCTAGACAATCTGAAGGTCCTGAGGTCAGGTCTTGATGGAGATGGACATTAAAAGAAAAAAATGAACTTGGCTTCCAGATCGACCACATGACCACATCACACACCCAATACTGAATAATCTATAAAATATAGGCTAGCACTATTTGCCCAATATGCTTGAAGACGTGGACGAGGGTTCTTCACAGATCATATTTTGTTTGCCTTTAGAGATTGTTGTAATGTATTGTCTCTCTTATTATTCTCTTTGCCTCTAAAGCATGTTGTAATGTATTGTCTCTCTTCTTATTCTCTTTGCCTCTAAAGCATGTTGTAATGTATTGTCTCTCTTCTTTTTCTGTTTTCCTCTAGAACATGTTGTAATGTGTTGTCTCTCTTCTTATTGTGTTTCCCTCTAGAACATGTTGTAATGTATGGTCTCTCTTATTATTCTGTTTGCATCTAGAACATGTTGAAATGTATAGTCTCTCTTATTATTCTGTTTGTATCTAGAGCATGTTGTAATATGTTGTCTCTCTTCTTATTCTGTTTGCATCTAGAGCATGTTTTAATAGAGCATGTTGTAATGTATTGTCTCTCTTCTTATTCTTTTTGCCTCTAGAACATGTAATGTATTGTCTCTCTTCTTATTCTGTTTGCATCTTTGTTCACAGTTGGAATACATGAGTTTTAGCTCTGTAAACAATAATTTAAAAAAAAAATCTCACAGTGCAGATAGATAACAAGAAACACAGAAGAGGAGGAGGAGGAGAAGAAGAAGCAGGAGGAGGACAAGAAGCAGGACGAGGAGGAGAAGAAGCAGGAGGGAGAAGGAGAAGAAGCAGAAAGAGAGGGAGAAGAGTGAAAGTATATATTGAACTTAATGATCCCCTATGTATTGAAGAACACTTAAAAATCCTGAAAACATGTACACCTATGACTGTGAATATGTTTATAAAAAAAAAGATTTAAAAGGACATCTGCAAAATATGTCCTTATTTGGTTTGTCATGTTAATAATAAATGAATTGGCAGTTTTTCACAGATAACTAAGTAAATTTATAGACATAAATACAATTTGTATACAGAAATTAATAGAAATAAAAGCTGAAATAAAGAGTCATTCAGGGTTATTACTTTGTTAATTTATTTAATTTTCACGACTTTATTTATCTTACGTTTACCTAAAAAAACTGTTTGATGCTCTTCCATTTCTAAACCCTACAGCTGAGAAATGAACAAAAAAGCCTTGCTGTTGTATTTGCTGTGTTGGGAATTATGAAGCCTGGTTACTATATTTATAAGATTGTAAATGTAAGTATCTTGTCAAGAAAAAGATGTCAGTTGCCATGTGAAAAAGAATATACAAATGCTAAATAGAACCTGTTGTTGTATGCATGGGTGTTTTTCTGGAAATAAAGCTGCTAGTGTTCACTTGAACATGTCTTTAAAAAAACGTTTTTTTTTTTTAAAAAGCTACCGGTACTTACTACAAGATATCTATTACATTAGTGCTAACAACAATAATGATTTAAAAAAAATTAATTTTTGTAAGAAGCTACCGAACTTACCACAAGATGTCTATTATTACATCAGTGCTTAAAACAATCATGCCTTGAAAAATATTAATTTTTAATAAAACTACCAGAACTTACCACAAGATGTCAATTATATTAGCCCTAAAAACAATCATTCGATCCCAGCTGCGGGCCATACACCTTGTGTTGGTTTCGACAGTGGTATCAGGGAGCCGACCGTCCAGAAAGCAATGGCAAACTACTTGACGTAAATTTGTCTAGTGAAACCACACAACAGCCAGGGGCTGATGGGGCTAGTTCTGCAATGTCCTGTAAAGGATACGCAACTAACTTTTTTTATGTGGCTTAGGTGGCTTATAGTTTTCTTATGTGGCTTAGGTGGCTTATAGTTTTCTTTTGTGGCTTAGGTGACTTATAGTTTTATGTATGCGGCTTAAATGGCTTATAGTTTTCCTTATGTGGCTTATAGTTTTCTTATGTGGCTTAGGTGGCTTATAGTTTTCTTATGTGGCTTAGGTGGCTTATTGTTTTCTTATGTGGCTTAGGTGGCTTATAGTTTTCTTATGCGGCTTAGATGGCTTATAGTTTTCTTATGTGGCTTATAGTTTTACATTTGCGGCTTAGGTGGCTTATAGTTTTCTTTATGTGGTGCCCTATAGTTTTCTTTATGTGGCTTAGGTGCCCTATAGTTTTCTTTATGTGGCTTAGGTGCCCTGTAGTTTTCTTTGTGTGGCTTAGGTGGTGCAAATACAGTTTTTAATTTTAATATATACCCAGTTTGATTCTGGCTGAGGGCTGTTTTGCATTGATTTTTACATATTTGTCAAGAGCTAACCGTTTTGAAAGCACTGGCAAACTGCTGAATGATAAATAGCTTGTTAATATCTGAAACAGTCAACAAATACAAGGGTGAGTTTGCAACATCCTGTAAAGAATACACAGCAAAACTTAAAGTTTAGTATGAGATGAGGTGTCCAATGCTGCACGAGCTCTTCTTAGTCAGCTCTTATGACATGTATGCTACCTTACAGTATTCTTCTTCTTTGCTTCCTTTATGAGCCCTTTTAACACATGTATGGATGTAAACAAAAAAATGTGGGCCTTGTAAATTATATATGATGCATACTTATACAATAAACAATCAAAGAGTTTTGGTAGTATGCATGCAATATATACTTGCACTGCCTACTATTGCACATAAGCTCAAAATTCTGCAAGCAAAGTCATATATCAGAGTGGCTGCAGACAAGAAGCACCTCCTGCATGAAGCCCTAGATAGATGTTGTGAGGGCCCTTTGGGAGCATGAGGGCTATTTGGGAGTGAGTGAACAGTGTGGACGATCTGAGGAGAATGGCACTGCGGGGAGTGCCAGGGGATCTGGTTGACACTCAAGGGAAAGACAAGACGGATGTACAATCAGACAGTTACTGGTGCCATCAGAATTGAAGATGGTGATGGAGCGCTTATGGAGTGTCCAAAATGCTGTGATGTCGATGCTTAATTCAACATTTCCCAATAGAGATTGCACATACACAAATATTAAAGCAGTATTGTAACAGTTCAGTGCGGAAATGAAGGATACGATCTCTTTCTCTCCTATTTCACTTCTCAGTGGCATTCCTTAGTACAAGAGGTTTCTCCTTGTTGTACTAAAAATTATTTGTAAATATTTTTGGGTTTAAACAAAAATACTTTTTATGCCAGTGACTTAAAATGAGAATGACGGATGTAGTTTCGGGCCGTTCAAACGCTGCCGGTCAGGCATAGTACCAGGCCCTCTCTCTTGAAGAATCTCAAACCAGGTTACAGGTGTTTCCTCTGCCTTGACTTGTTGAGCGAGGAGAAGAGTGCAGAGTGAAAAGATAGCTGGTCAGAACCAAGGAAGAGATGCACACATGCTCTCTACGTGCAGTAGAGAGATCCTAGGCTTGGCCTGTTGGCATTTCAATGAAAACCAAACTGTATGGAACAGTGGAAGAGATATGTCAGGCAGCATATTTCATAGTATTTTCATCTGAAAATGAAAAGAGAAAATGAAAAGAAGAAGAAGAAGAATAATAAGCATATTTTTTTTTAAAAGTAGATAATCTCATCTTATCTTTCAGGAATACATTAAACTTGAGGATGTAACTGAGCCAACACAAAATACAGTTGTTTATTCATTATTTGCTGCAGGTAAGCTGATTATGTTGCATTGTTGGTACTTATGAAATATGTATACATAGGGCGGTGATTTTCATCATGAAAAAACACATAACCGTTTCCAGGAATTTGAACTTTGCTCTCTCCCAGGATTCTTAGTCATTCAGCTAGCTGCTCATCTTCTGCATTTATAACCAATCTTTATATTGCTATTATTTATAAAACAAAATAGATTTAAGAGCATTTAACATGAAAGCTTTTCAGTATTCCAAGAGATAGAAGTATCAGAACTTACTTAGTACTTACTTAGTCGCTCCTCTTCTACCTTGGGGTGTAGAGGTTTGCCAGAGAGATCGCCAGACGTCTCTATCAGCAGTTTTCTTTCTGGCTTTGTTCCATTCCAGTCCTCTGTCAGTCAGGGACTGTCGGATGTTGTCTTCCCAGCGCACCCTGGGTCGTCCCGGAGGTCTGGTTCCCTGGTTCTTAGCCTCCCATGCTTGCCATGGTGGCCGATTTTCTCCCATTCTGCACACATGTCCAAACCATCGTAACTGTGACTGATCCACTCGGGTTAGTAAGGGCTGGGTATCAAGATCTTGACGTATTGTCTGATTGCGGACTTTGTCCCTTCTTGTCACTTAGGACCACCTTTCTCAGGTATCTCATTTCCGAGGCCTGCAGCTGGCTTCTGTGAGCTGTTGTCATTGCCCATGACTCACACCCATAGGTCAGGACTGGTACATAGGTAGAGCGGTAAACAGCATTTTCGTCCTCTTGCCAATTTCTCTTTTGCTAAGAAACCCTCGGTTTATGGCCTGGAAGAGTCTCCCAGCAGCTGCTTTTCGTGTAGCCAGCTCAGTCTTAATGCTCTCATTTTGGTCTAATACAACTCCAAGGTATTTGAACTGGTTAACCTGCTCCAACGCATACTGACCCATCATGATCTGGTGTTTCTTCTCCTCTCTTGAGATCACCATGGTTTTAGTTTTGGAGACACTGATGGTCATCCCTTTCTTTTCAAGCTCTTCCTTCCAGACAAGTAAGTTGTACTGAAGGTGTGCCTCTGATTTAGCTATCAGGGCCACATCGTCTGCAAAAGCCAGCTCTGATATACAGATTGGTCTCATCTTCCAGTACCCTACAGAGTACTTCTTTGTCTTCTCCTTACAGGTCTTGATGACATCATCCATCATAAGAATGAAGAGGTAAGGTGAGAGAATATCACCTTGTCTAACACCGCTGGTGGTCTTAAATTCTTCTGACTTTTGGTCTGCTGTTCTTACATAATTTCTGCACTTTTTGTAGAAACTCTGTATTGCACTGATCAGGGGTGCTGGGATGTTTTTCCCTGCCAAGCAGTCCCAGAGCTTGTTCCAGGGTACCTTGTCAAATGCCTTTTCCAGATCCCAAAAAACATAAGTGAATCTCACTCTTATATTCCAGGGCTTTTTCACTCATCTGTCTCAGTGTGAAGATAAGGTCTTGAGTACTTCGGTTTGCTCTGAAGCCGCACTGGGCCTCGTCCAGCTGTGGCTCTACCAGACTTCTAAGTCTCTGCTCAAGAATTCTAGAGTAACTTTTACCGGGGATGCTGAGGAGGGATATGCCTCTGTGGTTTTCACATTGTCTGTTATCACCTTTTTTAAATATAGGTATAATTATGGCAATCTCCCAATCTTTTGGTATAGTTTTGCTACACCAGGCTGCCTGGAGAACCTTCAGTAGAAGGCGCTCACCTTCGACTCCCATATATTTGACCATCTCTGGTGTTATACCATCATGACCTGCTGCTTTTCCCAGCTTAATCTTCTCAATAGCTGCCTTCAATTCTTCCATCCTGATGTTATCTTCCACATGATTGAATTCCTTCTCAGCAGTGAGGTCCATTATTATTAGAAGTATCAGAAGAGGATAGAAATGTCTGCCTCAGATGAGGATAAAAATGTCTACATTGGATGATAATGGAAAGGTATATTTCACATGAGGATAGATAGGTCTGATTCAGATGAGGATAGAAATGTCTGCATCAGATGAGTATAGAAATGTCTACACCAGATGAGGATAGAAATGTCTACATCAGATGAGGATAGAAATGTCTACATCAGATGAAGATAGAAATGTCTGCATCAGATGATAATAGAAATGTCTGCATCAGATAATAGTAGAAATGTCTGCATCAGATGAGGATAGAAATGTCTACATTGGATGAAAATGTAAAGGTATATTTCATGTAAAGATAGAAAGGTCTGATCAGATGAGGATAGCAATGTCTACTTCAGATCAAGATAGAAATATCTGCATCAGATTTGTATAGAAATGTCTGCATCAGATCAGGATAAAAATGTCTGCATCAGATCAGGATAGAAATGTCTGCATCATATCAGGATAGGAATGTCTGCATAAGATCAGGTTAGAAATGACTGCATCAGATCAGGATAGAAATGTCCACATCAGATCAGGATAGAAATGTCTGCATCTGATCAGGATAGAAATGTCTACATCAGATCAGGATAGAAATGTCTGCATCAGATCAGGATAGAAATTTCTGCATCAGATCAGGATCGGAATGTCTGCATCAGATCAGGATAGGAATGTCTGCATGAGATGAGGATTGAAATGTCTGAATCAGATGAGGATAGTAATTTCTGCATCAGATAAGAATAGAAATGTCAGCATCAGACGATTATAGAAATGTCTGCATCAGATAGTGATAGAAATGTTTGCATCAGATGAGGATAGAAATGTCTGCATCAGATGAGGATAGAAATGTCTGCATCATATGATTATAGAAGTGTCTGCATCAGATGAGGATAGAAATTTCTATTTTGGACAAGAAAGAAAATCATCATAAATTTGAGAGTTAAATGTTTTACTCTGTCAGTTTTGCACAAGAATATACTATTTTGTTGTAGTTGAGGTAAGTTAAAAATTGACATCACAGCATTTGGGACATTCTCATACATGCTCAATCCTCATTCTTAGAAGACAGTGAAGAGTTCCAGTATTTGTGGTAACAAGTAGCAAATTGATTATGTTTCTGCTGTGTCCTTTCTCTGATTACAGAGTTTTGCTGAGATCCCCGGTCATTCCTTGCTGCACCGTTCTCTAAACATTCATGCCTTCTCATTGTTCACTTCCCAAATCCTTGATCACATCTAGCTTGTCATGCATCGATCTGTGATCTAGTTGTGTAGCACCAGCCAGTAAATCTGTCTGTTCATTTCCTAAAACACATGCATACACAGGAGAAAATATCTGTAGATTCTAATTACTGGTGACCTCTGAAGCGATGCTTGTCACTCTGCACGAAGCATGCCTTTCTTCACTTTTCTCACCATGATTTGTTAGTCTCTGTTATAATCACAACATGTTATGTGTTGCAAATATAATGTAAATGTACATTTTTATGATCTTAACTTTTGACAGAATTTAAGCTGTATTTCTGATGTGTTCTTTTTATGAATATATATATATATATATATATATATATATTATTTTTTTTTTTTTAAATCAGTGGCTATTGGTCTTCTGGTCTGGCTGATGTTGATGGTAGAGCTTGTATTTGTGTACAATGATTTTGGAAAAGGTCTTAAAGAAAACAGTAAGTATATTTTGTATACTTTATTAAAGGTAATGGTTGTGGCATTTATACTGAAAGAGTCATTGATTATATATCTTGCATTGTTTACTTGTATTGTACATTTTGTCCTGCAAATAATCCAGTTGAAAATATTGAATTGTTAAATCGACATGGAAGCGGTGGAGATTTGGCTTTATAGACAAATGATAAGAACATCCTGAACAGATAAAAAGAGTAAGAAGATGTCATGGAAGAAATCGACATGACGAAAACTGAGTGCCCATATCAGAAAGAATGAAATAGGGTGTGACTGCAGTTGAGCTGATGACATGAAGTACTTAGTACAACATCAAATGTGACCACGAAGCTTGATGGGAGGGAATGGAAAAGATGTGCACCAAAAGATTTTGTTAATGGGAAAAGGCATATATTGATGAAGCCAGGAGAAAGCTAGCAGTTTGTTTCTTTGGACATTTTGCAGATATTTACAATAAGGCTGTTAGACCTGTCTCCCTCCCTTTTAACAGTTCTGACCACCAAGATGAAAGTGATATCTCAGTTACTGCTGTTAAATTTTGCTCCAGTGATCGAGCCAGTCGCTAATCATTATAAAATTATTTCATGTACATTTTTGGTGTTAGCTTGGAGGGATCAGTATTCAACACAAATGTATTTAATTTTATAAATGAATTTACTTAACTTGTTCATATTTCACTCTCTCTTTTTTCATTTGCTTTCTTACTTATTTCTTTTCATACAAAAGCTCTTTGTATCCATATTTTTCCACTATTACATATTTCTTAGTTTCAGGGTGACCTCAGTCTTTTAGAAGCTTTATTGTTTTGCTTAAGTTTTTCAGTCACAATTTGTGTTTTATTTAGTACTCCATTGGCAAAGACTTTGGTTGATACATTTGAATATATTTATGCACGTCTTTTCCATTCTTTCCTGTTCAGCTTTCTGGACACCATTTTATATTGTATTGAGCACTTCACATCAGAAAGAGAAAATCTACATCCTTTGGTCAAGTCATGAAAAGGAGAACACTGGAGAGCATCATGGCGGTGGGAAAGTTGGAGGGGAAAAGAGGCGACAGGAGACCAAGAGATACTTTACAGTTTGACATCATTGTAGGGAAGATCATCTGAGTTAGAACTAATTGAAAGTACTTGAGACAGAAGGTTGTCGATAGACATGACTACGAACACTACACGGCATGGATTTAAAAAGGAATTGTTGAAACAAGCGGTATTAATATACACATCAAAGATGCCGACAGCAGAAAATGGAGAGTGAAAGCAACAATGAATTCATCATTTGTTTAAGTTATCATTAATTACCAGCTAGTAGACTAACACTAGTTGGAGCATATGGAGAGAATGGTAGATTGCACTGGCAACAATTATGTGTCAAAAATGTGTCAGAAGTGAAAATAGTTTATCTGAACTAATTTTGATGTGCTGAACATGAAAATGACATTTAAAAATGTTGATTGGCTCTAGTTTAAAAAAAATATCTGTTACTAGTTTATTTTAATTACGGTCAGTTCATATATACTGTGTCCGTAAAGTCATGGTGCACCACGAAGGGCCACCACATAGGAATGTCACCATGACTTTACGGACACATAGTATGCGACACAGCTGTTGTGGGTGATTGTCTAGTTTTATTTCATTGACCAATAAAAATGTATCTGCAAGTTGGTGATGCAGTCTTCTCTGTGTAACATCACTTTTTAGTATATCTTGTCTTTTATAAAATAATGTCATTGGTTAGTACATTTGTCCTTACCAAAAAGTAAAGTAGTTAGAAATGCCTACGACATGTGTGAACATGCTAATAATTTCTATTATGTTTGTGATGAGGTAGCGTTTATATCATAAAAACCAAATATAACTAAAGTGATTTAAAAGGCACACATTTTGTATTCTGGCTGCAGAATGAGAGCTCAGAATAAGAGACCAGAATAAGAGCTGGGCACCAAACCTATGCCACAATACATATGCAGCACATTTTAAACTGTAGTTGCCTGGTAAAACTGCCTTTTGCAGTCCCAGTGATTTAGAGAGAGCCCACTAATCACCTCCACAACTATTACTTTTGCATGGTCCCTCCAATTGGGAAAGGCTTATCAGAAAAGAAAGAAATGGACTCTGGAGTATCCAAACACTTCCTCTGCAATATGTCTGGTACCACATGGCAATGACCTACCAGTTCCCAGAGTGCCAGCATCATTCCCGGCTACTTCCACTGATGAAGACGAGTGCACTGGTGGCTCTCAACCTCAGGTGACCCCAATTTTAAGCAAACTACATCAACAAAACCGCACCTAATAACCCAAAATGAATTGAATGATCTTGTAAGAGATCTGAATTTACAGAAGAACAAGGCGGAGCTTTTAGGTTTCAGATTACAACAGGGAAGTCTTTTGGAAATTCTGTATGGAAAAACAGATGAGACTTTCAAATACTTCATCTGAAAATTTCCTAGACTGAGTGAAGCTAAAAGAGAGGAAGAATTTGTTGGTCAGCAGATTCAAAGAATTGTTTATGCTGAGTTTCATCCTGTGTTGTATGGTAAAGAAAAAGCAGCATGGCTAGCATTTACATTAGTGGTGGATAATCTTCTTGAAACAACACATCTGATAATTGCAGTGAACTGTAGAAAATTTCCTTCTGGAGTGTAATCTATGAAAATTCATTTTCTTTATGTCAAACTATGGAGCTGTCAGTGATGAGCATGGTGAAGTATTTTACAAGAATATTGTTGCTATGGAGACAAGTCCAAGTTTTGCACAAGGGAAACCACTGTCAACAAACACAAGAACAATAGTTTTAAAAAGACCAAATACAAAGTGGTCTGTGTGAAGGTAGATTTGTAAAAATATATTCTTGCGAAATGTAAAAAAAAAAAAATGATCACTCATTACTCTATGGTTGGGACTCAAGAAGTGATGCCATTTATATATCATGCATTACTTGGAATGAAAAAAAGTTAATTTGTAACTTTACAAATTTCCAGGACTAATTTCTAAATAACTTTTTCTGTCCACAGACAGACAAGTGGTCAGCGAAAGGTCACATCTGCTAGCATCCAACAGATCAACATGGAGGAGTCAGGATTAACATGGACAGCACTTCATGGACTCCACTGGATATCACATGGTCTCGCTAAGCCTTTTATTTTATATCACTCAGAGTCATGCTGTAAAGTTTTCTGTTGCAAAAAGATTTTTGTAACTTTCCTAGCGTAACCGCTTGTCAGTTATCTTGACTGGTCAGCATTTTCCTGTGCATCAGTTCTGGAGCGAGTCACACGTATGATGATGTGCTTGAGGTTTTCTCCAAATTGTGTCTTGATGGGTCTCTTCTGTGGGACAGGTTCTCTGTTCTTACACCACAAGCAGAAGTGTAAGACAAGAACATCATGTGGGACAGGTTCTCTGTTCTTACACCACAGGCAGAAGTGTAAGACAAGAACATCATGTGGGACAGGTTCTCTGTTCTTACACCACAGGCAGAAGTGTAAGACAAGAACATCATGTCAAAGGAGGTATTGCCACATATGAACACTGAACAGTAGCCAAAGAAGAATAGTAAACCAACACAGAACTGATGTTATCACTTGCCACACGCTGAGGGAGATGCTGAAGGTGGGATCTAAATGCTTATGGACGATTTGCAATGAGGATGATTGGCTGAGAATTTAGGGCCACATGGCTAGTCACCTGTCGGTTAGGATTTTTTGTTTGCGTCACACAGAAAAACCTGTAATCATACTGATGATTAGAATCTCAGTCTCTTATATATTTATCCTCAGCGTTCTTAATTGATTGATTGATTGATTTGATTCAAGAACCGACATCACAACACTCGAGGCATTCCCATAAGCGCTCTGTCCCCATCTTCAACAGCCAGCGAAGAGTTCCGATGCCTTGCCTTTCCTCTGAGCCTCGAGCATCTGCCAGAACCTCTCGTCACTCCCCGCTGCATCAGTCTTACCAGACTGTAGTGATCCATCTGCTCCTCTGAACTGTACCACGTCTGCCTTATCATGTTTCAGTATTCCACCAAGTTGTGCAGAGCCAGTCAGTCTGTCCGCCTGTTCATTTCCCAACACACCGGCCTGCCCCGGTGAAGAAATCCAGACAATACTCCTCACCCGTGTCCTCCGCAGCGAAGCATGCCAGTCTGCACGAAGCATACCTGTTCTGATCTTCCTCAGCATGCTTTCTGAATCAGTTACAATCAGGATGTGTGTGTGTGCAGTGCTCTTAACCTTTCAGCCAGCCATTACACACTTACATTGTACAGACAATAACAGAAGAGTTGACCATAACAAATTCTTCAAACAAAAATAAAAAGGTGATATCAGTCACTGCTGTTTTACACACGATATATGTTGAGAAAACAAGCATGAAATGACTAAACATTTGTCAATGCTATATTTTGTAACCTAATGTGTTTCCTGTTGTGGGCTATGAAGTCCTTTTTTTTTTAAGGAAAAAATAACAGGGCAGCTGCACCTCTACAGTCATATTGTAAACAAGCTAACAAATTAGGGATTTGCTGATGTTGTATGTGTTGATCTGAAAGGCACAATTATCACAGCCTGGCTTGAAACCACACACAAGGTACCAGCCACCCTTTTCTGAACAGTAAAAGAAGAAGAAAAAGAACCATTAAAATTGGCTCTCATACTTTTATCTCATTTCTCATTTCTCGCAGACACCATTTGTTAAACATATATACATTTATGAACATGGGTGTTACTGGTAGTGCTGTTCATTTGTTAGTTAGTTTAGTTAGTTAGTTAGTTAGTTAGTTAGTTGGGTTATCGTCATTGCACTCCGGACATGTCCATAGGTGCTCAGATCCTCCCCTCAGTATGAACCCCAACGTCCGATGGCTAATAGTACCAGTTCTATTTTGATTAACAAGTCTTCTGACGTGTCCGGTGTGCGTCTCGTTTTTTGCTGTGCCGATCTTAATTCCCAAGTCTGCCATTCTGGCGAGTGATGTGGATTCACTGCCACCAAAGTCCTCTATCCTTCCCATTTCTCTGAGGGCATTGATAATATCAGCATGATCCATAGGCCGACCGTCGGTAGTGATAGCGGATCCAGCCAACCTGTCAGCTCTTTCATTTCCATCGACGTCTGCGTGTCCCGGAAAAAATAAAGGTGACTCCACGCACAGTGGACTTCTGTAAATGATTCAAGCCATTGTCTTCGTACTGAACCTGCCTGAACCCTCCGGATCATACTCATTGAATCACTGAGTATACATATGCGGGTGTATTTTTGTGTTTCAAGCCAGGCAAACGCTTGCGTCACTGCCATCACCTCCATCGTCATGCTGCTGGTTGTCATGGAGAAGGCACCGTTGGCTTCTTTGACTGTTCTGCCCGCTGAGCGTGCTGTAAATGCCCATGCGCTTCTTCTTTGGCGTATAACGGATCCGTCTGTATAGATTAGTGCATCTGCTTCGTCTGAATTTTCACCGATGAGAGCGTTGACCTCTGCATTAACAGCAACAGGATTCTCTTCTCTACATCGCCTGTTGAGTGTGACAATACAGGAAAATGTACAAATAAACACCTGAGGCACAGGTATCCATTCTGCACCAGGTATGATGTCGGTTAGGCTGCATATTTGCCTAATAACATCTTCTGCCTGACCTAGCCACGATTTTCCCCTCTTCAGTCTGTCGCCCTTTTCACTAAAAAGCGCTTGATGCAGTGGGTGTTTCTTATCAGCACATATTTTTGAGGTATGCCCGAGCCCTCCACATCCTGATCCTTTGGTTCATTGTTGGAAAGTCAAGTAGATACCTCATTGCTTCACAGGATGTGTCTCTTGTACATCCCAAAATAATGCGCATGGCTTCATTTTGCACCTTTTCGAGTCTTTCAATCTGGGTAGCACTGACAGTGAGGATGGCCAGAGCGTATTCAATGGGTGAAAGGACCAGACCGTAGAATAGAAGTATTAGTAGTCTTTGCTCGATATTGGAAGCAGCCATAATCCTCATTGCAGATAGACCTTTTGCGTGCTTTTGTTATCACATGGTCAACGTTTGTTCCCTGAATGACAAGCTGCGATCGAACCTCACCCCGAGAAACGTCATAACGTTTGGTTCTGATCAATATATTATCACGCATTTTCACTTCTGGTAAGTCCGACTTGACAATGTGATTGTTCAAAGAGAACCATGACACTGATGCCTTCGAAGGATTGACATAGGCATTGGAACCATCACACCAGGGCGGCAATTCGATCGAGTTCTTTGTGCATTGTGCTGGCGATCTCCTGTCTATCACGCCCTCGTCGATAAATCAAAATGTCATCAGCAAATGACAAAGTCCTTCCCTTTCCATTCAACTGCTGCTCAGTGATCATCACCGTATAAACGTTGAATAAGACTGGTGATAGCGGTGATCCCTGTGGCAAGCCTGGACATATCGTTTTGCGGTTCTGAGGACCAGCTACCACATCTTAGTACAATCTTTCTCTGGAACAGGACCGCAGCAATCCAGCGGATCAGAATATGGTTGACTTCTAGTTTAAGCAGTAATTGCATTAAATATTCGTATGGTACTTTATTGTAGGCATCTTCTAAGTCCAACACTGCCGCACATGTCTCTTCTTTAATCTGAAATCCCTCGTACACATCGTAGGCGAAAACAGCAGCATTGAACCATGTCTCTTTCTTCAACCTGTACCCTCCAAGTGTTGATGGGAACTTATCATGTAGTTCCAAGTAGGTGGTCAATCTTTGTGCGACAATTTTTTCCAAAAGTTTGCCAACAGTATTCTGCATCGAGATGATTCTGTAGCCGCAGATCTTTGAGTGGTCTTTATTAGGCTTTGGTAGTGGGAACAAATAACTATGGAGCCATTCCTCTTGTATCTGGCCACTCTGGATGCTGATATTGAATTCCTTTGCCACGCTTTTCAAATCAGCTGTTCATTTGTTATTGATTATTTACCTGAACAAAGTGCCTAGACCTTTTGGTCTCCTTCTGTTGACTTGTTGGTGCATAAATATGTATGTATATATTGGTATCCCAACTATCGTTTAGCTGGTTGTCCGATTAATTAATTGGTGCCATTGATTTATTTGATGTATTGATTGATTGGTGTTGTTGATTGGCTTGAAGAATTGTTGGTGGATATAAATTAGTTGATTGTTTGGTTATTTGATTAAATGGTTGATTGATTGGCTGACTGAATTGTTATTTAATTGAACAGTTGATTCATTGCTTGATTGGATGGTTGATTGATTGTTTAGTTGAGATTAAATGGTTGATGGATTGGTTAATTGATTGTTTAGTCAATTAAATTATTGAATAATTGCTTGATTAAAACGTTAATTGATTGATTAGTCAATTAAATGGTTGATTGATTGGCTGACTGAATTATTTGATTGAATATTTAATTGCTTGATTGAATGGTTGATTAATTGATTAGTCGCTTGATTGGTTAACTGAATAGTTATTTGAATGAATATTTGATTAATTGCTTGATTGGATGGTATGATTAATTAGATAAATTGAATAATTGGTTGATTGATTGATTTAATGATTGATTGAATAGTTAGTCGATTTATTTATTTGGTTGATAAGTGTTTTGTTGTTGTTGAAGAAGTAGAAAGATAGAAGAATACACTAGACAACATACAAATCTAAATCTTTGGTTGCCATGCCAGGAATCGAACCTGTCACCTCCAAAGGCATGTGCACCTCACTATGGAAACAGGCGCACTAAGAACATGGTCAGTACGCCTAAAAAAGGTGTCTTAATTGGCCATGTCTATCATGCAGCTTGAAATCAACAACTATGGAATACAGGCAGGATTCACCACAAACCATTGAAATGGCACCATAGATTACAGAAAGTTGTATTAAGAAGTATAGGTTGATAACAAATGCAGCAATGATTTACAAACACAGTAGACATTTAAGAAAGGTATTTGATTGGTAGGTTCCGGTGTGTATACGTCATTTACACAAATAAACAGAGGGAGGACCCTTGAGGCCGTATAAATATTAAATGTAATAAACAAACAGACAGTGTATCAATCAGCACTCACAGAAAGAAGTAGAAAGGTAGAAGAACACACTG